CTTGTGTTAGTGCTGGCATATATTTAACTCATTAACTTATATAGTTTGTCCAACCATCACACATACTCTGTTACATGCCTGGGCTATTGACTATTGTAATTCATAAGTTACAAACTTCTTATGATAATCATAAAGTTACTTGCTATGAAGTAATTTATTGGTATAGTTTTGCTATATAGATAGAAATAAATATCTTTTTTTGCATTGTTTTCTAGTAACTTATAATTTTCTTTGGGGGGCCTCTTCAATTACTGTTCTAGCTTGTGTGCTCTAGAACAGTTAGAATATTATGTGTTTCTAAAATAAACTAAATTCTTTAGTTGTATACTTTGTATATGAATAGGTGCTGTTACAGAGTGGATTAATTGGCAGACATGTTCTAATAAGAACAACGGCTAATTTGAACTTTACTGTTTTGGCAGGAGAAGAAGGTCATAAAAGAAGAGAAGATGAAGCAAGAGGAGAAGTATATGTGGGCTATTGTTGATGGAGTCAAAGAGAAGGTGTGGCATCTACATCGTGTTGAATTTCATCTCTTTTTTGTATTTTTCTAACTTTTTGTATTTTTCATCTCTTTTTTAGGGGGTGGGAGGGGGCAGGGGAACTTATGTTTGGTTTCAACAGTTTGATATAAACATAGCTTTTGTTGCTTGTAGAACATTCTCAATATTTCTTCATTGACTGGTAAAAATATGTCTTGGGGGAATAAGTTTTTGTTCCTCTTTTCTTTGCATATAATTTAATATTATCCTGCCTATTTGTAATGCGGCAGTAAAGCCTTGGAAGTCTCAATTTAAAAGTGTTCTGTGCAACTTTTATTAAGCTGGAGAGAAGCATATTTTATAAATTTGCAGAGCTAATGATTAGTGAAAAAAGCAAAGTTGTAATGAATTATCCATTTTTAGCCGGTTTTGTATATTTTCATGTTTGTTTTCTTCAAACCAGGAAATATATTTTATAGATATCAAGAATTATAGCTGCAACATTTTGATAATGCTAAAGATGTGTATGGGGTCATGTGCTTAACGGTAAATATTTTGAAGTGCAGCTGGCTTTAGTTCTTAATGAAGCATAAATGATGAGGGTTCAACATAGTTATATTCATCTTTTGCAATTTTCATGGTGTCCTATTTTATCAAATACATTGTTATTAGCTGATAGCGATGTAGACTAGTTTAATGTGACTTTCTTCTGATGCACGTCTGAGGTATCTAGCAACGATGTCATTTGCAGGTTGGGAACTTCAGGGTTGAACCGCCTGGATTATTCCGAGGCCGTGGAGAGCATCCAAAGGTATATTAAACATCTTTCTGCTAGCAGTGGAGACCTAAAGTTCATCTAAAATTTCCTGTTTTGTTATGTTCTTGCTCTTTATATGATAATTGGTGGCAATATTAGAGTTCTAATGAGAGAAAAGCGTTGAACAGATGGGGAAGCTTAAAAGACGCATACGTCCTAGCGACATCACTATAAATATTGGAAAGGATGCTCCAATTCCGGAGTGTCCTATCCCTGGTGAAAGGTTCTTCTTCCTGCTTATTAGTTTTCTCTTTTGAAGATCAGGAAAATGGCCGGTGATTTTTTAGATTAAAATGGCATTGATTTGAAGAGGTAACATTAAGAATTTAATAATTGGCAGCTGGAAAGAAATAAGGCATGACAATACCGTGACATGGTTAGCATTTTGGAATGATCCAATCAATCCAAAGGAAATCAAATATGTATTCCTTGCAGCAAGCAGCACCCTGAAAGGGCAAAGTGACAAGGAGAAATACGAGAAATCAAGACTTTTGAAGGTATTGAAGATGTAGTTAACCAATAGACATCTTCGACGTGTATCATCTGTCTTTAATAAAGTAGGACTAACTTATTATAAATATTTCTTTGCTATTGACTGAAGGACTACATACAAGGTATAAGAGCATCTTATACCAAAGATTTTGCAAGTAAAGATCCTACAAAGAAGCAGATTGCGGTTGCTACCTATCTTATTGACAAACTAGCTCTTAGGGCAGGCAACGAGAAGGTATAAGGTCTATGGTTTTTAGTTTTTATCATCCCATACAATGCATTTTTAATTGTTTGAGAACTTCCTGAGCAATGACAACAAACTAAGGCTTGTTTCCAAATTGTTTTTTGCCATTTCATTCAACTTATAGGTAGAACTGGAATTAAGATTCATTTAATAGCATCTGACAAAGTTTACTCTTGCTGTCAACTTACTGCAAACTTTGCGGAGATGAGAGGAATTTATTTGCAAAGCACAGTTATTATGATCCAACTACATGTTCTTAATTATGCATATTCTACAGTTGTTTCCCCTTGACAAATAATATGAGACGATGCAACTTCTCATCACTTTTTAGTATGTCACAGGATGATGATGAAGCTGATACGGTTGGTTGCTGCACGTTGAAAGTAGAAAACGTAGAACCAATGCCTCCAAATATTTTGAAGGTAGTGGATTTATGTATAGTATAACTATTTCTCAAATGTCTATGTTTTAGATTTTCCTTGTAAGATTCACGAGTTTGATGGATGCTGAGGAAAAAATGAGTGTTGAAACAATTTCTTCTACTACACTGTTGACAGTTCTGAGAATTAAGATTCTTATAGAAAATAGTAACCATGAAAGATTTTTTTCACCCTGACTGCATATCTGTTTGTGTTTGCAGTTTGATTTCCTTGGTAAAGATTCTATCAGGTATCAAAATGAGGTAGAAGTTGAATCTGCTGTCTTCAAGGCGATCCAACAGTTCCGGAGTGGTCAGTAGATGGTCTTCTGTATATTTATTTGATAATTTATATTTGCACATTTAAATATTATCTGTATTACGTTCAGGCAAAAAGGCTGCTGATGATCTTTTTGACAAGCTTGATACCAGTAAACTAAATGCTCATTTGAAGGAACTCATGCCTGGTCTGACAGCAAAAGTTTTCCGTACATACAATGCATCAATAACCCTGGATGAGATGGTAAGATTCAACACTGGGATTTATAGTCTCCAAGTTAATATCAGTTCATATGCTGAATGTCTGTGGTAAACATAGAAGAGATGAGGAGAAGTGATTATGTGTGCAGGCTGCATCCAAAAATTCGAAAGTTGATACAAGATCTAAATGATAATGAACTTTAATAATTTGTTACAAAAATTAATTTGTGCTTACTCTTGATGGTCTATCAAAAACTAATAGCAGTTACAAAAATTAGAACTGAACTTTCAAGTTTTTTAGCGGGCTACATTTATCTCTCCTATAAATTGATGCACCTATTTACGTAGCTCAAGACATTCTTAATTTGGCAAATAATTGAAGTTATTAATCTGTATTTGCAACAAATTTACATGCTGTGAGTTAGTGAATGAAATTTATTCATGGCACAAAGTGTATTCCTTAACTGAATGTTCTATTCCACATTTTAATTTTTCTATTCAGCATTTGTTTAATTTGTTATTATTGGTGCAGTTGAGTAAGGACACAAAGGCTGGAGACGTAGCTGAGAATATAGTTGTTTATCAACATGCAAACAAGGAGGTAAAGATTTTAAACTCTAAATGTCTGATGACATCTTTTTTTTTCATGTTTGGTTGAGAGTGATTCTATTTGTATTTCTTGTGTAGGTTGCAATCATTTGTAATCATCAACGTACTGTCTCAAAGTCCCACAGTGCCCAGATGTTGCGTTTGAATGAAAAGATAGAGGAATTAAAGGTAATAGATGACTTCTAAATCTAATTAATCCCTGCATGCAATTGATGTTACTAAAATATTATGAGCGCAAAAGTTAGATGCCAATTCGAGGATGTCACTGCTCAAGTTGAGCATTGATGGATCATTCTTGTGTTCACCACGACTTATATTGACTGGTTGAAAAACGAACTTCTAAACATCGGATGCTTGTTGCAAGCCTAGGTCACTATAAAGCAATGTTTGGCTAAGTTATAGCCAAAAAAAAGAAGACGGTTTACTTTTTGCCCACTTTCAAGTGAAAAATAAATAAAATGTGAAAATTTATTTGGAAGTAACTTACAGTACTGTCGTGTGAGGACTGAATACTAGTTACTTGTCTGGGAATTTTATGATGTAACATTTACGTCTTGTGTATAACTTGACTTAGTTATTGTATGTAGGTTGTTTTGGAAGAGTTGACGACAGATTTGGTTAGGGCAAAGAAAGGAAAGCCCCCGTTGAAGAGCGCTGATGGGAAAACAAAAAGGAATCTAAACCCCGAAGCGTAATTACATTTCCTCCTAATTGTTAAGTTATTCTGTGTTAGTTATCATGTAGCTAATAGTGAAACGACGTGCAGATTAGAGAAAAAGATAGCTCAAACAAATGCAAAGATTGAAAAAATGGAACGAGACAAGGAGACCAAAGAGGATTTGAAAACTGTAGCATTGGGCACTTCAAAGATTAACTACCTTGATCCTCGAATAACAGTTGCATGGTGCAAACGTCATGAAGTTCCTATCGAGAAGGTGAAAACTTGAATTTCTGGTGGATTAGTTTTCATTTCTTCCCCGTCCTCTTAATGGGTTACTTGTGAACTAATTGTGTTTCGCACTGATGCAGATATTCAACAAGTCTCTCCTGGCAAAATTTACTTGGGCGATGGATGTGGATCCTAGTTTCAGATTCTAAATTTTGGTAGTTATAGCGAAGAACATCCCCCCACCCCTCAAACCGGAGACAGAGATAGACGAACCTGAACAAAGATCTATTGACTAATTATTTATTTTTTATTTCTGCGGAAAAATCAATTCCTGTTGTATTAAATCATCTCAATGAAATTGTGGATGATTTTCTCCCACTTTTAATTGTTATTGGATTTCTCTCCTGTGTTCTGAGAGTGATTTCTTTGTTTTCATAACTACTAATTCAGACATGGAGATGCAACTTGCAATGTAACTACTGAATTATAATCATGGTTTTGCTCAACTCTTCTAAGGCTTTTCTCTCTTTTGCACGTAAGGTTAGTGAAGCAAGCTAACTGTGCTGTGATTCGTATAATGACTTGAAAAAATATATTAGACATCTTTTTGCCTCTACTTTACAAGAGCAATGTGTTTGGATATAGTAAGAACGTTTACTTCTTTTACATAATAAATTGATCATTTTACGATTGCCAAAAACCACCAAAAAAAAAAAAAAAAAAAGAAGAAGAAAAAGGGGAAAACTTGTGTGTTTTCAATAACGGTTCTTTCGTGTTCTGTATTATAAACATTTGATCAGCATGTGTACTACAGCAACCAAAACGACAATCCCAATAACTGAAACAAGTAGGCACAAGCAGGAGCAGCCACCTTTTGTGCGTTTATTTAGAAATGCAAGCTTCCTCTGCACTCGCTGTTATCATTACAGAAGAACCAAAAAATCAGGGTTAAATTAGAAAAACACGCTAATACAATAAAGATTGTACTCCTTTCATTCTGATTAATTATACACCGAAGAAGTTACGTGAGGGCAGTCCGAAGTTCAAAGAACCTGACATCTTATGACATGAATCCTTGTAAACAATAGCATCAAGCATTATTTTGATCATCCAACTAAGAGGATTCAAATGCTCGAAGATTGAGAAAAATTCGTGCCAAAAATTATGGTGCTCATCTCAGTGATTTTACGCCAAGAACACATGCAGTAGCTCAACAAGGTTTTCTAATAATATGATGAGACTAGAAATTATCACCTGTAGTCGGGATTCTGTAATATCAACATGTTGGTCCAAACTATCCTGCTAGGAATATATCAAACAGACATGAACTCAAAAATCAGTGATTTCAGAAGATAATAAAACTGGGTTAGTGAGATAAAAATAAGACACGCACGATTAGTCTTGTATGCAGATCAAGCTCCTCATTGACTGCCAATGCTATATGTTTGGCGCTGATCACTGTCTCCTCCAATTTCTCAAGATCCTCATCTTGTTCTGCATAGAAAGCGAACAAAGGATGATATGCATAAGAGAAACAATTGATTAAAAAGGAGGAGAATATAAACTTTAAAATCTTTACAGAAAATAACCTTTCATAATTTGACATTGAAGACCGACAAACCCAGCGTTGTCAAGGCCTGCTGTTCTACTCATTGCTTCAACCGACTTACTTTCTGGCCCAAGCAAGCTGTCCCTCTTTGTGAAGTTTGACATATTCAATGTGGAAGCCATCTGGTTTACTTTTGATCTTAAATTTGCAACCATGTCCTTGCGACGATTCATTTCTTTCTGTGTCCTGCATATAAGAAATAACGGGTTTTACAAACATTAAAAAAAAACATAATAGACAAATATGCTTGGAGATTACATATACAAATGAACCATAAGGATCGAGTATCTAAACATGCTTGGAGAAATCACAAAGAGGAAACAAATGGACAAATGAGAGGTACAGGTAGGTTGAGGATTGGACATATTTAGCAAGTGAATCATAAGACAAAGAAGATACATTGGATAACAATTTGATCATTTTAACATTGTACATCAACATCCTTATCCAATGGCAAGTTCAATAGAGATGACTTACAAAGGCTGCTTTGCAGGAAGCTTTGACAGAAGAGACTCTAGGCTATCGAGTCTGGTGCTAAGTATGGTAATTTTCCTCCGTATTGCAGATGAATGTCGCTGAGTTTCTTGCCCTGTGGTGGGAAATGAACTCTTCTCAGATATCATATCAGTGATGTCATCAGCAAGTTTTACAGCTTCATTATATTCCCTCATCCACGGGTCTCTAGAAGCGGCCATTCGTCTGAAGAATAAGATGGTGGAATTGTTAGCATTACTAAGAAGCTCTTATCTGAGCACAATCATCCTATCAGCTATACCGAGGACAGACAACCCTTTTTACGCGTGCTATAGATCACATGGATTTATTAGTAACAAGGATACACAATATTGCACATTGATGCAACGAAAAGTTCAACAAGTTAATTAGAAAAAAGTAGTTTTAGATCATGAAGTCACGAAAAAGTGCACCAAAATTATAGCAAGACGGAAAGGACCATTCTTGTCCCTTTAATCCAAGCAAGAAACAACCTTTTTGGTAGTGTATTGACTAACAAGATATCATTTCAATAAACCTTAGTTGGAAAAACCTAAAATTCTACCCAAAAAAAAAAAAAAAAACAAATAGCATAACTGAAAAATATATCTAATAACTCTTAAATCAGAGAATGTAATATTTACTGAGTAAGAAAAAAGGTCAATGAGTAAGAACTACTGCTTCGGAATTAGCTCATATACACGTATATATTTATACCGTCAAAACACATAATTACTCGTTTACTGGCTATAAGAAAACTGCGATTGCATCAAATTTAAAGGAGGAAAATTTGTTTACCTTTACGACTGGAATCAGCGAGTTGAATTGTGGAATTGGAGTAGCTGATTGAACAAATTTCTGTGTTTGAATAATTTAAAAGAAGCAAATCAACCGAAAACCCACGGCACCACCAAGATTTGTCCGTCCAAATTGTCGTTTCTGCTGCAGGCATTACGACAATATTCATTAAATATGGAAGAAAATCCTCTTTATTATTATTATTGTGATGATGATGATGAAGATTCAGAATACACTATTGATTAGCAAAACGAAATTTTGAAAGGAAAGAAACGTTAAATCGAGTTCAAATATAATCAACTCTTCAACGTCGTCATTGATCTTTTCTTCTACTCTCATTTCACATTAGAAGTTCGTTTCCAACTAAAATTGGTAGTGTTATAACTACTCATTTTAAAATTTATTTCATTTACTTTTTACTCATAAATTATGAGTAATTAAAAAATTAGCCAAACAAGTACAGACATCTTCTTCGATTGAATTTCTCATTTGTCAATTTTTGGCAAGATAAGAGGTATGGTAAATGTAGGATGGGGGTTCAGCCTTTATTTTTAAAATATGAATAGTATTTAAGTTCTTTAGAAATATGAACATACTTTGATTATTGTATTGCTTAGAGTGCCATTCTTAAGCGTATCTATCTTTATGTTTTCTAATACATAGAAATTCCTGACCATTGAGTGTCGAGGGAGCTATAGTATTTGTATGTCATCAGGGGATCATTTTACCGTCTTCACATATTTTTGTTCGTGTACTCATTTGTGGTGGTTAATGCTCTAGTAACGTAATCTTATATGGATGTTGTCTTGCCTTATACCGAAGTGTATGACTTATTAACATAACCGATCATAAAAATTATTGTATCAAATATGTTGTTACTTTAGATGGTTGTCTACTTTCTCCATTTCTTTAGTTGCATTTAAAATGGGAGGTGACGTGGACACCAAAGTCCATTTCTAATTGAAGTCTCGAACTGATCTTTCACGTAATTGCTATGCAATATATCACAATTGTTACTATTAGCAGTTTGGGGACGATAGGTAAATAAAAAGTGAAGTCTATAAATTAAATAAGATATGTTAAAATTGAGCAACCAAATTGAATTTCAATCAAAGTTAAATGACGACTGATGAAATTTATCCAATTTCAATAAAAGTCTCTGTATTTCCTCTGCTCATTTCTCATCGTCCTTTTTATTCATTTCATTTTCTTCTTTTTCAGTTTTACCGTAAGATTGTCAACACCTTGATTGTCTTGCCTGCTATATTTGCCAAAACACCAGCCGACGCCAGTCACGATGCTTCTACCTACCTACCTACGCAATCCACCTAACCCTGCACGTTATTCTCATTTTCGAACTCTAAAAAACAATTCCAAGAATGTAATTGACACTCCAGTCTAGTAAACCCCATTTTTCTCACCTGGGTTTTTTTTTCATGGCACGATCAATTTTCATTTTTGTAATATTTTTTTTAATTAGTTTTTGCTATACCCATGTTCGATCAAATGATCAGGAAGGGTACATTACAGTAGACATATCGAATAAGGGCCTTGATTTTCTCAAGGATTTGTTGATAGAAAAGGCAGAGTCTTCGTTGCTTCCACTTTACCTGCCCAAGATCGAGAAGGCAGTTAAAATCCCAATTGTGGGTAAAGTTCATATGGTTCTTTCGAATATTACTATGGAAAGGATCGATGTGATTTCTTCAACCGTGAAAACTGATGATAATGGTATACTCATAGCTGTTTCTGGGGCCACCGCGAATCTAAGTATGAATTGGAAGTATTCATATAGCACTTGGTTGATTCCTATTGCTGTTTCGGATCAAGGAAGTGCCACAATTCGGGTATGCAGTTTATGAATGCATGTATAATTTGTGGAGTCTTGAAAGGTATACGTGGAACCTCACTCTAATTATCTAATGAGTCATCGTTTCTTTTGAATATTTTATTGAGTGAATTTCAAATTAATAGGAAGGTAACTTCGAATGGCCGTAATTTTTGTTCATTTTAGATGCCAAAAGTTGATTGCACAGAGTTGAATTTCAGTGAAGAGTCCATCTAGGATGGAAAATTATTGATGTGTAGTGTGAAGCGAGAAAAATGAATAAATTCTATGATTCCAAGTAAAATACTGAGAATGCTGATAAAATGAAAATACTCGAAATCGTGATATTGAGATGAATTTGTAGCGATGTTAAAACAGATGCAATAGTAAATGCGAATATATGCCAATAAATAAAGGTACACCAATTGGGGATAAATTAACAGATATGCGACTTAGGCAGTGAGGACTTTTTTTGTAGACTTAAAAAAATCTCTTGTTCACTAGAATGATGTGATCCTAGTAGAATAGGTTAGAAGAGGGAGAGACGTATCAAAATTTATTATGACATGTTATGTTTATGAATGATGTATTGCAATTAGCTATAGACGTAGGCATGTAGCATTGAATTGAAAGAAGTGGAGGAAAAGGATTCATGCAGCCTACTTCAAATTATTTGGTATCAGGATTAGTCTGTTGTCATTATGTGCAATAATATGTACTGCATGCATCTGTAAGTTTGTATGTTGGGTCTTGGCAGATTTTGGTGTGGAGGGAGGAGAGAGAACTAGTAGCAGTATTTGTGATTTATGTTTCTGAAAACCTGTCACAGCCTAACAATAGCCAATCACATTAATGGCCAGGCTGAAGCTCAATGGATATTTTACTAATTAAAATAGGCATATTTACTAAGATGTAGGTGTATGTCTCAAAGTATGTTGATTGTATTACGGATTGGAAAGCAGTTACCATTGCAGCAAAAACAATGAAGTTTAGTTCCTCATCTCATAATTTTACGAGATTCCAGAGTTGTCAAAGTGCTTCAAAATGATGTATATGATCTGTTTTTATGAAAGTTGAGAATTCTTAACACATTTGTCAGTATAACACTTCCGCTTCAAGTGCTTGTTTCAATCTTACATTTTCTATTCTGTTCTATTTTACATTTAGAGTTTAGATTTTGCAGCTCCATATAATGATCCTCGTTAGAAACTTTTTATGGAAGTTAAGTCCTTGAATTCTTAGAAACATAAACCTGACAAAACTTGTTTCTTTAGTTTTAATCAGCTTGTTGTGCAACTCTTGATAGTGATAGAACCCTAGACTCTAAACTCCAAACTTTAAACTTCTAATATCATAAATATTTTTACAATAATTTTGCTTCTTTTGTGAAATCATGACATCATCTCCAATTAATATATTCTCCGATGGAAATTGATGTATTTTGCTACTTCTAAGGTTGAAGATATGGACATTGGGCTTACCCTCAGTCTGAAGAATCTACAAGGATCTCTTATGCTGTCTGTTCAGGACTGTGGATGTAATGTGAAAGATATATCTATAAAGTTGGATGGTGGAGCATCGTTGGTTTATCAAGGGTATCGTTTTCATGTTTCTGAACTATGGCAATTTTCCTTGGTTTTGTTGTTTCTATAGTTGGGAATTTGAGCTAATGATTTAGCATCTATTTGAGCCACATTATCAAAAAACTCTTTTTTTTTTCCAACCTCATTTTCGACCACACATTCTTTCAATAAAATAATTTTGCACAGAAACAAAAAAAAAAAAAATCCTACTTTTTAACTACACGTTCTTCAAAAAAATCTCTACTACAAAATCAATTCTCCCAAAAAATGAGGCTAAAACGGAGCCTTAGAATGTTAAACGTATAGATTCTTTGAACCTGTGAGGAATCCTTTTGCTTTACAACTTCTGTGTTCACCCAGCTGAGTTTGTAGATTATGTTTTAATTATACATTTAATTATTGATGAGGAAGTAATAGGTAATCGGTGTCATGCCAGGACCTAATTGCATAAACATCTGTTTACCTCATGGCTAAATATGCTGATTCTTGGTGCCAGTTGGAAATTGAAATTATCCAATATGACATTTTATTTTGTCCATAGCATTATCTGTGCTCATGCAAATCCTAGATGAACATCATGAATTTTGATCATAAGATGAAATGTAAATACCTCCTCGAGGTGCACTTTGAAACTATTTTCTTTGTCGATGACAAATTTATCTGGGAAACATGTTAGCAGTTAAGCCTAATTTTTGTTTTTGGTTACTCTCCTTTCTATCTGTGAATGGGCTAGTTATATATATTTTCTTTTACTTACTTTTCATGACAATTCGTATTCATTTTGTGATTCACCTCCCATTTTTCAGGTTGGTGGATGCCTTTGAGGGTAAAATTGTTTCTGCTGTTGAAAATGCTGTTTCCAAGAAAATAAAAGGTGGAATTGTAAAGCTTGATTCTGTATTGCAATCTCTTCCTAAAGAAGTTCCAATAACTAATATTGCTTCCATGAACATTACATTTGTTGATGACCCAAAGTTGAGTGAATCATCACTTGATGTCGAAATAGATGGGTTGTTATCTGCCAAGGATAAAATTATAGTTTCCAACCACTATCATAAAACTTTACAAGCTTCATTCTCCTACAGGGAAGTAGATAAGATGGCCAGGATCTCATTGCATGAAGGTGTTCTTAAATCTGCATCAGCAGTCTACTTCAAAGTATTTTTCTAATTTTATTATTTTAATTAGTCGACTGGATTTGAAATTTGGATCTATTTTTTGAAAGGATAAAGTAGACATATAAAATAGGGAAGAAGAGCAAATTATTTAAAAAGTTGGGGTGTCTTTATCCAAGACAGACTGGTGGATTCTAGAAAATGGTATAGAAAATATACCAAGAGTGGGGGGTTGGGGTCGGGATCAGGAGGTCACTCCTGCAGCTTCTTTTACTATATTGTGAAGAGTAAAAGACACGTTTTCTAAATTTGTACAAGCTCAAGCTTGTTTTGTGTCTATTATATTACAAAGCATAGGTTAGAGATTGTGTCCTTTTCTCACTGAGCAATCTATTGCCTCTGTTTTCGATCATGTTGTAATTGAATTTGACAAAGAGGATGAATACAACTGCAAAATTGGAATGGAAATTTCTTCTGTCAATGGTCCAGTGTATAGGGGTGCTTCAGAACAACGAACCAAAGTAGACGCTGATCCCTTCTTTTAGCTTCTTTTTTTCCCTTTAATATTGTATAATACTATCTGATTCATCAACCAAATGTGCCAAGCTACCTGATCCATAGGGTCTAATATTTTTTGCTGGATCGCATAATAGAATTGTCAATTTCAAGACAACCATTTGATAATGAGATAATAAAAGTTTGTTATTCTTTTCAGGCAAAGAAGATGCATTGGATTGTTGACAACATATCAGATCAATCTCTCTTGAACACAGCTAGTTGGAGGTTTATTATTCCGCAGTTGTACAAGATGTATCCGAATGATGAAATTAACCTGAATATTTCTGTATCTTCTCTACCAACTATTAAAATCGAAAAGCAGCAGATTGATGTAACAATTCCCTTGGATGTGGTGATTGATGTTTTGGATGCGGGAGAAGTAATTCCAGTTGCAGGCTTTTCAATGGTACGTTTAGTGAAACACCTGTGATGTCTAAACTATCATGCTCTACTTTTTCTTTTCCCGGGCATGGAGAGCCAAAGGTGTTAAATCACTTGAATCAACAACCTTTTGTATCTGGCACATGACATATTGGTTGATTTAATTTGAAAGGAACTTTGACTTAACCTGGTTTGTCAGTTGGATTTATTTTAGTTCTGTCACTCTATTGCTCTTATCACGTCAAATCTTAATGTCACCAACAGGTGGAAGTGATGAATTTTGTTTTGCTGTAGGTCATTAGTGCTTCAATATCTGCTGAAATTTCAGGGAACACTCTATTTGGTAGAGTGAAGTTAAATCAATTCAGCATGTCTCTTAAGTGGAGCAAAATTGGTGACTTGCACATGCGTCTAGTCCAGGTATATTAGTTCATTGTTTGATTCCTTGATTTCAGCGGGTAAATCTGATCATCATATAATGTTTGTAGAACCTTAGAAGCATCAGACTATGCCTTCGTAATTTGAACGACTGAGATGCATCACACATTCTTGCTGCCATACACACGCCACCATTATGTATCCTACCCAATCGAGATGGGATGTTATCCAAATGAATTTCAAGTTACTGTATCTTTCATTCTTACTGCCTCATTTTGGTAGAACCATTTCTATGGTCCCTGTTGGACAGACAAAAAAATTGGTTGAATTGATAAAATGGTCAAACAAATATCACACTTCGTGACATTGAGTCTCATACCAATGATACATCGGAACATTTAATGAAATGTGAATAATCTTGTAGATAGCACATATACTGAAATTCCTAATGTTCTATATAGAAAAATAAATTTCAGTCGAGAAAAGGGTTATCATCAACACAACACCCCCCACCCCACCCAAATGTCATTCATCATTTGGTACCAGTACTCCCGGCTTATTTCTGCTTATTGTCATCTATTCCTTGAGGTATTAGTTGACAGTAAATTCCTGACAGGCATTCTTGCTGGCTTGTCAATTTGGCTGAATAAACTATTTAGAAGTTGCCTAAACTTTAAAAATAGATTAGCCTTCAGCAGCTGAGCTCTTGGCTGTCTCATTGTGTTTATTCTGCATAAATGAGTTATTTTGACGGCAGATCAAAGATATTTTGAGGGATTTTACTTTTGTATTTGAAGTCAGAAACAAAACTTGGTTTGTTGATGTACTCTCTCGTTTTCATGGTTTTTGATTTTGTGGGTTGGATTAGAAGATTCTGTTCCTTTCTGTTGATCACATAACCTACTAAATTCTAATAATTTGCAGTCAGTGATATCCACTATGCTGAAGACCGTGATATTGCCATACGTGAATGTACAACTCAGGAAAGGACATTTGTTGCCCGCGTTCCATGGTTACAAGCTTCAAGATACTCAAATCGTTTGTGTAGATTCCTGGATTATAATCAGCAGTGATTTGGCATCTGCAAAAAGATTTAGGATTGCCTAGTCCCTGCATATAGGAAGGGTGAAACTATCATCAGTGCTAATGTGTACGAGGATGCAATATGTACAATTGTTGTGTAGGTGTAGCCCTGTGTGTTATTCCCTCCAGTTATATTCTTTTGAGTAGATTTAGACGTGTAACAGTTGCAGATTATTTCATTTGTAACACGGAGATCTGATGTAAAGGTGAGAGCTGCTTCATCTTTCTCCATGGTTTCTTCTATTTCCATTATCCTTCGACTTTAGTTGTATGCTATGGCATTAATAGATATGTATATGTGAAGACTTTGCCTCTCTTGTTTATACTTCCATTTAGATTAATTATTTACTGTCGGCTACTGAATAGAAATGTTAGGGAGATAGGAATTGAGAGAATTGGGATATCATTTAATGGCCTGTTTGTCTAAATTCTTGAAATTCAAATTAAAGATAATCTTAGATTAGTTGTTTTGAATGAAAATCCCGGCAGAGGCCGCCCTTCAGCTTCTTGCTGGTACAGGACCATTAGTCACGACCCTATGACAACGATAAAGAATTATCTTTCCTAATCCTCTGTATAGTTCAGCATTCCATCAAACATTCTCTATGTCTAAATACAGTTTAAATATAATTTGCCTTAATGGTAGGAGACGGGGGGAGAGAATTTTTGAAATAAATTTACCGAGTGCTGGAGAAGAGGAAATCAACGGTGGTAGTTTTCAGGGCATAATCCCCTTATTTGTCTGGCAGGACACAAACTGAGAAATGCAACTTCTAAATTTCACCCCAAACGCAACAAATTCAAGTTACACACTCTGTGATCACCCCCAATCATGATTCAAACATAGGAAACATATTTGTGAAACAGACACATCTTTACAAATAAAATCATGGAAAGAGGCAAGGGAAGTAAAATAAAACAAGATCTATTGCCCAGCTGATGGATTTGTCAATAATTCAAGTGATTTCTTAAGGTGGTCGACCGCAACAGAAACCTCATCAAACGCGAGAGCCCCAACCGCGAATCTTGCAGCCTTGTGCGCTTCAGCAATTTTCTCTGGTGAAGGCTGGTAATTGCTGTCATATTGGTATGATTGTGTAGCAGCAGCAGCTGGTAAAGTTTCTGAAACGCCCCCGTTCCTGCCACTAGAATTGTATTGAGTAGTTGATGGAGAGTTGACGGTGTTAAGCGGAGAAGAATTGGAATATGAAGTATCAGAGCCTTGATGGTGGGAAGGATAATGAGATGGAGCTGTAGGAAGGCTACTTTCGGTAAAACTAGGGTATGACTGGAAATTAGGATATGAGTATGGGGGAACGTCGTGAGGATGGTACTGTTGCGGTAAGTGCTGCTTTGGTTCTTGATGGTAGGGTGGAGGATGATACGGCTGATGAGAATAAGGAGAATGTTCTGTTCTGTTGCTTGAAGGTGGCTGGTGGTAAGTGTCATCGGTAGGATATTGAGGTGGCTGGTGGTAAGAGTCATCAGTAGGATAGTGAGGTGGCTGGTGGTAAGTGTCATCATTATGATATTGAGGTGGCTGGTGGTAGGAGTCATCATTAGGATATTGAGGTGGCTGGTGGTAAGAGTCATCAGTAGGATAGTGAGGTGGCTGGTGGTAAGTGTCATCATTATGATATTGAGGTGGCTGGTGGTAGGAGTCATCATTAGGATATTGAGGTGGCTGGTGGTAAGAGTCATCAGTAGGATAGTGAGGTGGCTGGTGGTAAGCGTCATCAGTAGGATATTGAGGTGGTGGTGACATGTTCGAAGGAGGCGATAGTGGGATATTTGATGCTGATGGAGAAATGTTTGTAGAATGCTGCGACTTGACTTTATCATATGACTCAGAAAATGAATTGGATTCTGGTGCAGCTCTTGTAGCAGGATCTGTTATGCCTGCTTCAGTTCTGACAGCAAAATCATTTGAGCTTGGATCAAGATCCTGAAAGAGAGTAGACAGAATTACCATAAATGTTTACAGTGGATCCTTAGTGAGTGTCTGGAACTTTTAAAATTAAGTATTTATTTCTTTATCTTGTCGTCTTATCAAAAACCATATCTTCCACATAAAAAGGCATTTATTGAGACAACTATAGCAACCTCCATGGCATTAATTCATTTAACAATAAGCATAAAATTACGGAACAGTAACTTCTAGAACACTGCCAAGCAAATACGAAAACATTTTTTTTGCAGAACTGAGGTTAGAAGATTATATATTATTTTGATTCCGTACCGAATTTCCAAACGCAGCCACTTGCACTCATACACAATGTCATAGGCCATCTAAACAATTGCATTAGCACTTCCTAGTTTACCTCAACTATCATAATGCATTACCAACTCATTAATAGGGTGAAATAGACGAAACATTTTCAAATATCATAAAACAAGGCAAGGGATTGGCACAATTCCCACTTGTTAGCTCCACGATTCCAGTTTTACTTCATCTTTTAGTGAGGAAATTATATCCATCCATGACACTATACCGCATCAGTGAATTAATTGTAGCAACTCATAGGGAATAAAATTTACATGTTCACCACTTGACGTCCTTGATGGCACCGATAGATCTTCATCGCCCCCAGGAGGACCTGGTATGGGCTTTCTCCTTTCTTTTATGGCAAAAAAAAAAAAAAAAAAGAGAAAGAAGGAGGGGGGGGGGGGGGGGGGGGGGGGGAATATTTAGCAGCATTTAAAAATATTTAATTCCCAACAAAATAGTAGAAACTGTGAATTAGGTCTAGGTACAATAAAGCTTATCAATGTGCACTCCAAAGTCTGCAGCACAAGTTGTGTGTATCCATATCATATGGTAAAGCTAGGAAGTTATATGGCAAAAGGAACAAGGATGAGGTATCTTGAAGTATAACTCCTAGAAGTGCCAACAAGTTACAAACTTAAAAACCTCTGCTACGGAAATGACTCGCACGTGAACGGAAGAATACAAGAAGCCATCAAAATTATTGCTTCTTTCCATTCATTCCCCTGATTTCATAAGTGGCTTCGTGGGGGCAGGGGAACCTCTTCATCTATTCATGGAGACTTCTAAACAACCATGGCACCCACATAATGGGAGAACCAAACAAAAAGCAACTGCCAGACAATAGTACCTTTTAATTTGGGTCTTGTGCAGCTACTCTTAGGTAAGTTAATGAACCATATCACCCATGGTAACCAGAAAGCCATGTTTATCTGAAGTGATTAATAATTAGACCCCAGTAACCATGGTCTTGGTTTAAACTCATGTTTCCAACATAAGTTTCAGAAAAAGTAAACTTGGAAAGATTCTATGAAATCTGTTCAGAATAGTTTTAAATTCGGCAACAGCCTTGTCATATTGAAAACATGTAAGCACTATCCCAAATATTACCCACTTTTATCATATGTAGAAGAAAAATGTTTCTGATATTGATAGTAGATTTAAAGAAAATGTTTAATAGTTTCAATTAATCCATAAGCAAGGTGAAACACAATGGGTTTTGTCGAATATAAAGCTCTGAAATTACACATGTTCTTTCCTAAATTTTTGAAGTGGGCAAAATCAATATATTTCCATGCAAATATAAAATCTGAACCTTGGTTATAAGGAATCCCCCCCCCCCCCCCCCACAATTTTTTTTTTCTCCAACCCCCCCCCCCCCCCCAACATATTTTACTCTGGTCACTTTAGTCATATTAGTGTTTTTATTAATTTTCCCCCTTTTTAAAGGTGTGCAGAAATGGGCACTAAAAAGCTTAGTACCCTCCATTATTACTACTGCACCTTCTTCTATCACAATCAGACCAGTCGATGTGTGTACTTTATATTTCCAGTTCTACCCACAACCCACATTAAGCAAGCATGGTCTTAAATATGGTCTACATTAAGATAGCACAAAATCCATTAATTACCATGACAGCTCAAGAACCATATGAAACAAATATAATTGCTTAAAAAGTTGTGGGAATTTTCTCATACAAATCAGCTCGCCCAGCTCGATCTTGCTTATCAGCTTTTGCAAAGACATTCAAGGCAAAACCCTCCAGATGTAGATGGTCATCAGGCCCTAACGTCAATGACTTCTTATCCTGCAAAAGAACAAAAACATGAGACAACAGAAAGCTAATTTTTAAATAATGTTATTGCTGCATTGCTGTATATCACCCATAAATTTAAGTTTTAAACCGCATTACTATGAAAACAAGATTATATCCATAAAACATGGCCACACTCAAATCAGAAGAATTGCAAAAAAAAAATAATGAATCATCAAAAACATACTCATAAGAAAACCTAGCTATAACCAGATAAATCTAGCTAAATAATTTTAATGTACATATACAAATGTATACAACCAAAATATAATGCTTTTGCAATCTACATATACCATAATTACAAACCTAAACAAGAACACGTAACTTCAAATCATAAGCTTATATTTTAACTTACCCTGATCATAAACAATTAATCAACAGGAAGTCAAAATGAATCATCTAGACATAAAAAATAAAAGAAAAAAGGAACCTTCTCGAGTTGTTTCATGAGGGAAACAAGTAAAGAGTTGGTGGTTTTGGTACGCTCGCTCTGAGGAATCTTCAAACCTCGTTCCATCGCATACAATCGACCTGTCAAAAAATCCCCACTCAATGACGATTTTTAATCAAAACACTGTATCTCAAAATTAGGAGAAAACTTTTTCAAATTTTCTTAATTACTAAGGTTTAAACGAAAAGATCGGGAGAAAAATAGAGTATTACAGTAGTAAGCGACGAGGGGTTCGTGTTTCTGCAACTCATCGGCTCTTTGAAGGTAAGGTAAAAGGAGCTTTGCCGGTTCATTGTCAGCAGCCATCGAGTAGTCGGAGATCGCCGGCGGGTGTGGGGCTGCTATTAGTTATTGCTACAAACGCGAAATATGAAAGTCATACTCGTATCGTGTTTCCAAAGGCATCAAAATGGGATGGAATTGGAAACTTATAATTACTTTGGGAGTAATTATCACAAAACGTTTTTATCTTTTATTTTTTAACATTTTTTTTCCTATTTTTAACTTTGAAAAATGTCATTTTCTTCTATTTTCTTAATAATATAAAATATTAAATATTAAATAATAAATATACACTCATATTTAAATAAAAACAAAAAAAGAACAAATTAAATAACAAATTGTAATTATACCTCCAAACTTTTTAAAGTACTACAAATGAATACAAATAAATTATTAATAGAAAAATTAGAACAAAACATCTCTAACTTTCAATATTATTGTGCAAAACGTCCACAACTTTTATTTTTGACATTTTCACCCTTATTTTCACATTTTCATTAAGAAATCGTTCTCATCCTTTTTGTCAATTAAAAGCTGTAAAGTGATTAATATACCCCCTATTTAAATAAAACAAAAGCTTGTTTTTAATTATTTATTTGAAATTTATTTATACTTTTTTGAAAAATTTGAGAGTATAGTTACAACTTGTTGTTTATTTTTCTTTTATTTAAATGAAAGGGTATATTCATCATTTTACAACTTTTGATTAAAAAAATGAATGAAAATAATGATTTCCGTAATGAAATGTGAAAATAGCAAAAAATGAAAGGTAGAGACGTATTGTATAATAATATTGAAATGTATGAACGTTTTGTGCTAATTACCCTTTTAAAAAGTTTGGATGTATGACCGCAATTTGTTATTTAATTTTTCTTTTCTTTTCTTTTTGGTTTTATTTAAATATGAGTTCATATTTGTTATTTTATATTTTTTTTATTGAAAAATTGGATGAAAATAATATTTTTCGCAATGAAAGATAAAAATACCAAAAAATGAAAGGAAATGACATTTTGCATAATAATATTGAAAGATATGGACTTTTTTGCTAATTACCCTAATACAGTTTGACCCCACTTAAAATTAAATAACTCATTTAATTTTGCATTTCCTTTAACCTATCAAGTAACGTCGTTTAGATTGAAATTATATTTCCACTAGAGCTACGTAACATTACTCTTAATTTAGAGGAAATTTCTTGATTAATTAATAAATAAATGTAACACATTTTTATGAGTACATTGTTAGTAACAAATTTATCAGTTGGTAACGCTTCACTAGAAGAGGGGAAAAAAGTACCCCTTCAATTGTTCAATCCTATTAAATACTGTTCATCCATCGTGCCTTAAAAGATTGATTTTGAATTGCGGTCATGTCGCACAACGAGCAGAAACTCAAGAGCTTCTCACTAACTCGAATATAACACAAACAGCTAATTCAGTCTCTACTATGGAAATTACTCTTTATCTAACAAGTTACATCCTCTTACAGCAACTGACAACAGCTGATTTCTCGAAGATACATAAAGAAAGTAGCAGCTACTCTACGAGTTTCAAATACTTTATGGTGTACTTGGAACAGGCTCCACGGTGGAAATGTGAGATACTGCATCCTCTTTTGACATGGCGACATGGTTCACAGGAGCAGCTGGCATAGAGTCTCTCTTCCTGTCTCTATTTATTGATCTGGAACCATTTTGATGGGCGTTAAGAGAGAGTCGTCTGCTAGTAGTCCCATTCGTGCTCCCATTTGCTCGTGGACCTACTACCTTCTTGGTACTAAGCTGCCGAGTTATGCTTGGTGTTGAACCAAGCACTGGTTCTGGTTCTTTACTCGACTGTTCCTGGAACTTTTTCTGATCCTGCAAAGACCAGATGCAGAATCTATTGATAATGAATTCTTATTTAAGAATAACCTAGAGCTTAAAATCATGTGAAAAGATGAACAGCCTGAGCACGTTTGGCTAAGAATAAAAATAAGAAGAAGTTACTTTTAAGTAGCAATGTGGTTCCATACATGTTTAAATTACATTTTTAAGTAAAAAAAAGTTACTTATAAAATACATAACTTCCAATTTCAATCAATAAAAGAGTTACTTATTGAAAAACTCATTTAATTACAGGTAAACCTTTTAAGCTTAGCCAAACATGCTCTAAGTAGTGATATATATGGACAATATTGACTTACCCTCAACCTCTTCTTCTCCACTTCCCTATCATGTCTGAGCATTACATACTCGTCTAGCATGGCAAGAAGAGGAACACCATCATAAGCAAATGTTATGCCACGATCTTGTTCCCATGTATGGGTTTTAGCCATCAACGTGTCAACAATAGCTACATAGTACATATACAACAAAAAAGATAAGCATCGAGGATGGGCGTATGACCAGTGGAAGTTTTTCCAATAAGCAGATAAACATCATCAAACAAAAATAATGCTCTCCGGTTCTGAAAAATATACATGTTTAGAGTTTTTTTATTATGCACCTAGACTTTGTGAACTCCTCGAAACAATTAAAGTTATAGTATATCTACAATCAAAGGTATCATCTAATTTGCATGTGAAAGGAACATAGTATAATATATTACGGAATGATGAAAATAAGATTTAGCTCTTTGATAAAAAAGTAAAAATGCATTGTAGAATTTTAGTATCAGCTTCCCTTTTTACCAAAAAACAACACACTGTGCAAATCAATCCGAAAGTAAGGATCAGTACAGTACTGTACCTGGAATCTTGTTAACCAAGATTCGAGCCTTTTCAGCCCTCTTCAAATTTAAGTGTGCACCTCTGCTAGCATTATACTTATTCTCATCCTGTTTCACCAGTGAACTATCAGAGGCACGATAATGCCAAGTGTGCACAAGGTCACTCCATGCCATTTTGTAATAACAAACCAATCAATCTTTAAACAAGAATGACAAAATAATTGTTATGTTAGGGCATGTCAACAAATCATGGGACCTGGAGATGTTGGCAGCAGACATCAAATGAGTTTTTAAAATTTTCAAAATTGATTGTGAAGACGAGTAGTGCAGTAAATTTCTGATTGCACAAGCTACGCATGTATAACTCCAGCTACTGTTTCGGGGTTTCCCACAAAAGGATGAAGTGTGTGTTGGAATAGGATGCCATTTTCCGTGGTGGTGGTGGTGGTTGAGAAGGGGGGATAAAAAATTAATTACCCTATTGTAGTCTTCAAGCCAGCTTTCTTCTTCACAAGTTGACATCCACTTCTCGACCTTATCCAATATTTCTTTTCTACTCAAAGCCTCTTCTTTTGCTTTCACTATCTGATTATCCATGTCAGCCAATAAATCTGCAGGCTCTATATTCCCAGAATCAATGAGTTCCAAAATTTTAGCTTGAGCAGCCTCTGTATCTATCTCAACATGAGCATGGGCAAATATCTCCTCAAGTTCAGCCTGCTTCTTGAAAGCAATTTCCTTCATTCTGCTAGCTTTTAGTTGATCAAGCCTGTCAACTTCCACCTCAGTCTTCGCAAAATAAAAATGACTGAATCAGCGAACAATTGATATCATATACTCAAATTTAATTTTAATAACAGGTACCTGTTCAATGACTTGCAGAGCAAGAGCCCCAGAAATGATAACTTCAACCACTGAAGCTGAAATATTACAAGTAACGTGATCAAACAGGCTTCGTTCTTCTTCGGGAGTATCCATCAAATTCCAGAGATCAACGAGCTGGGTCGCTAATTCTTGAACCTGTAAATATAACAAATTCAAAGGACATAATTGTGCAGATGATTGTCATAACAAAAGATCTTAGATTCAAGGAGATGACCATGGATGGATACATGTCCAATTGACACACAGTATGTGAGCCTTAGTCACTGCTTTTCCAAGAAATAAATGATATGGAACTAGTAGAATGAATCATGTCATGCCACAAATTCCTATTGCTAATTGAAGATAGCAGTTTTTGTGATTTATATGGTGTGCAAGAACATCAATAGAGTAAGAGAATGTGCTTATAACATGAAATCATGACACAATATAAATGTGTGTGAAAATTTATGTCAAAGGTCTCACATAAAAATCAGCTTGGTACTTATATAGTTACCTTCTTTAAACCTCTGCTTCTTATCTTCCTTTAGTGATAAGACAGTCTCTGACAATCTAGCTAGTGTGTCGTTGCTTATGCTTTTAGACTGTACACCTGCAGAGTCATTCAAACTTGGATGAACTTCAGTGACAGTATGGAAGAAGTCCAAGCCAAGGACGGCACAAAGATCATGCACGGTGTTCACAAACTCAAGGACCTTGTGCAATCTCTCACTCTGCAAAATTATGTAGAATGAAGCATGATAATCTTGCTAGTTACAAATCAGCCTCACATGCACTAGCAACAGATTTCTAGTAAGAGAAAGACTTCACCTTTTCTTTTTGAAGGTCTTGGAGCTGAGCATGAAACTCATCTAATTTTTTTAGGGATAGGTCAGACTCATCGACTGCAGGACTCTCCTCTGGCCCACTAACTCCAGCAATTTCTGCACATATCTTCTGTATTTGAGATTGAACATCAGAAAACTCTTTCATCCGTTCATCTTTCTGGTTCCATAGTTTTTCTAATGCAGGTGCTATAGCTGCAAGCTGTTCCTTAATTGATCCTGAAGTTTTCTCAGGCTGCAAAAGAAACCAAGGAACAAAATAAGATACTATTAAAAATCTACAGAAACAAACTTGAGCAAATTTTATTTTGCTACATTCACAGTGCTCGTCACTATAGCTCCCCGAATTTCATAATTTCTTCCCATATGCATGTAGGGCAACTACTCACTACTCCAACATAACTCTTCTCTCCAAGTGCTGACAGGAGATTGGTGAGTTCAACTCTAGCATCTGCCAATGTCTGAAGAAGGAACGCCCTTGATTTCACAGCGTGATCAACCTTTCTCTTGTACACATTCAAGCACTCTTGCTCTAACTGAAGGAGCATTTTGTCTCGGTCACTGTCACTCTCACCAACTTCATCCCAAATTTGCTGCATTGCAAAAAAAAATTTGTTTAAGCTTCTGGTTTGTACTACAATATAAAGATTGAGAAAACTGTAAATGCAAAGAATTCAACAGTGAATTGCCTGCAACTGCTGTAGCAAAGAACCACACGTAATTTGTCCACTGAGAGGTTTTTCAGCATCCACTGCTGCCATCAGCCTTAACTCGAAACAAACCTGAGAGAAAATCCAAATTAAAACTCGCTCTTTTATATGACAATATATCTTAAAAGGATACAATGCAGAGAAATATTACAGCCAAACCCAAAAAGCCACAGTATAGTGCATAAAAAAACTGGCAACGCTCATAATCAAGATCAACTGAAAGAAAAAAACCCAGCATTGGAGCAACTTTGCTATACCAATCAAGGACACAATAAGTTAACAACTTAACAAGCATTTCAATTTTTTCCGTACTAAAATAAAACCAAAAAAAAAACGGAAAAAAAGAAAGAAAGAAAATAACTCAAGTAAACGAAACTATAAAACTTCGACAAACTCAGATCACAATCCAAAACCATTTCAGTGAAATCAGACAAATTGTCCCCAGTCAAACGATCTTCAATAAATTTATTATTCCCAAATTCATACAAAATCAAACGAATAAAAAGAATGCTTACCGGTCGGCTGGGGTCGTAAACACAGATCTAAATGTGTGTGTGTGTGTGTCGGGAGTACGGTGAGAGTGAAAGGGTAGAAGAAATGAAATAGTTAGTGTGGGACCCGGAGAAATGCAGGTGTCCCTGGCTGATTTATCAGCATATTCATAATTTATAAAGCTTTATTTTTAATCACTTTACTTTTCTTTTTTCTTTTTTTTTTCTTTTCTTTTCTTTTTTTTTTAAAAGAAACTCGTAAGTACAAGGGAGGTCCTCCGAAATTATGATAAATTTTAAAAGTTATTCTAAATTTAGGTATCTTTAATTGAAATTTTATTGAATTTTCATGAAACTCATTAAAATTTAAGTGTCCTCAATTGAGATTTTAATGAAATTCTTTAAAATTTAGATATCCTCAATGATAGAAGAATTTTAAAAGATTTGGATAGATTCTAGCTTAAAAATATCTATAAGCAAATCTTTTGAAATTTCATTATATTTGATGAGATTCTTATAAAGTTTCTAAGAAGATTTGGTTTACATTCTTTCCTCATTAAAATGAAAAATATGACCGTTCTCCATCATATCAAACTATCAAATTTGAATTTCTATATCTTGTGTAAGGTCCATAACGACTATATTTTTCATTATCATTCTTCCAAAAATGAGAAATAAAGAGGAGCTATATTCAAATCCACAAAATTCATTAAAATTTTAGTTCAAAATACATTGACACAGTTCATTAATCCAATGCTCTTCTATCCATTTATAAACTAAAACATATATAAATTATTTCCATATGGAGACTTATACTTGCCCCGTATTTTTATTTATTACATCACGTTTTAATTTTATTTAAGATTTTCAATCCTTGTTTACTTTATAATTCTTTCATTTTTTTCATTGCATTTATATCCTCAAATTTTCATTAATTAGCATATTTGACCTTTGATAAGAATGCCCGTCAAAAATATTCGTTGAAAGACTGTAAAATGACTACTAATCATATTTTTTTTAAAATAATAATAATAAAAAGTACGATAAAATATTTATTTTCCTCATTTCATATATTTTATTGTTAGAATATTTTTGCTTCAAGAAAAATATTTGAAATGGGGTTATAAGGAAAAGAGGTACTGCACTAATTGAGTAATCTTCAACCTTTCGTATATAATCGTTTAGGCTACAAAATATTTAACTTCAACATATATATTGTAAAAGGAATATATTTCGTCAATTCATTTTCTTGAATTATCTAATTCGCTCGCAACCTATCTCTTTGAAATGACTAAGATATTATGCTTCCCAATCAGTGACCTTTGTCATATGCTGCCAAAAGTATTGCTTAAACAATTAATCCCGGTGTATAGACAATTAGTTCACAGGGGCTTGCCAGATAGCTCACGGTAGCAGCAGACCCCACATGTAAAAAAAAAAAAAATTGCAGCAAGGCCCACCATGTGAGTACCCTGACAAGGACCTGTCTGTACGCCAAGATTGGTGGTTAAAAAACCATAACACAAAACCAGCAATGATCCAGTGATACAATAGTACCCTGCCACGGTCCAGACCCGAGTTCCCAGCTAATGTATTTCATTAAAAGAGCTGCTGTGAAGAAACATTTGTGCTAAAAGTGGTGATTGGGTCTCCACACCCGTCTGATCTTCAGACGAGGAGATCACATCTGAGCACCTCTTACAATTTCTTAAACTATTTTTTACTTTACATCAAATTTTTATAACAACTTAGTCTACGTCTATCTTTTTAACATTTTGATAGTCTATTCAATGGCTGGTCATCTATTAAAAAGGCAAACATAAACGCAACCACAAACGAACCACAATGAACCAAATCCTATAGAAGTGAGATGAAAAACATGGGTATCAAACAAAACATAATGAAGAAAATATCCAAAACTTCAATTGAATGAAGAGGAGAAACACCGTGTCACTAGCACTCCATGTATGGATGTAAAAATTAACACTGTGCCTCCCATGTCACAAATCAGTTAAGCTCCGTAAACAAGACATTTTGCCCTCCAAACAATTGATATGTTTTGCTCACAAGTAGCAGCCAAGCATATACGTCCTCGATGTCAAATGGCTAACCAATCAAAAAGCATGTGAGGGTCAAAATTATTGGTGCATAAAAAAGATAAGTATAATGAAATGTATTAAGAGAACGATGAATTGCAAGGGGTAGATAGGAACCTTGATGAACTTGCAATGGTCATTTTGGCTCCTTCGGAAAGTGAAGCTTGATAAGCATCGGAAGCTCAACAAGTTCGACCTGGGACTTACCCAACAAAATATGCTTCAGCTTTTCATCACAGTTGAAGACATTCTTATTGTTTTGATCCTAGAAATATAAAAGATAAATGCTGGTCAATGATAAAAATATTGAGTTGATTACTAGATCTTCTGAAAGCTCCCCCCTTCCCCAAAAAGAAATATAAGGGATGGTACGCATTCTTATTTCTGTTTATTAAACATACTTCAGCATTTACCAAGTAAAAATAAAGAGTTACTTCACTTTTTCTCAAGAATTTCCAAAAAATTGCTAGTATCCAGGCTGGGGAATGTTAGTTAGCTTGCATCAAATTCTTATGGTTAAAGATTTAATTTTGGCAAAAAGCATATTCAATATGAAGCACTCCCAATGAATTTGTTTAGGAAACAATTTCTCAGAAACTGCTTTCTCCTCCTACTCTGAATTGTTTATTTTTTTCTTTGTCAAGTCTCTCATTCTGAAAGTTAATTTCATATTACCCTAATTAACAAAAAATCAAAAAAAATTGAAGCTTTTTAGGAGCAGGAGAATCATATTGCAAAGCTTTTTTTCGCAATAACCAGCTAGAAACATGAAAACCCGTCCCTTTACAGGACTTTATATAAATTACTTCTCTCGATTTCTATTTTCATGCTCATTGCAAATTATGACAATATGGGCTTTCAAAGGGATTCATATAAGAGATAGTGGTTATTGTCAGACAGTGTACCACTTCATAAGAAGGGGAATTGTATCTGCTTCCAACAATATCTACTTGTATAGTAATTTCAGTTTCCACAAATAAAATATCTTTGTTTCCTCATGAAATTATATGCAAGCATTTCACATATTGGATCGATTAACACATTCAAATGAAGCGAAGTAATTCTCCCCTTAATTTCATACAAAATCAGGAATTCAACACCAATATAAGCTCGACATTGTAGCAGCTTTAATGAGTCCCACACGGCTAACTTGGCTCAGTCACTCAGTGGACCTATGAGCACCTTGGGCACCCTCCCCTTACAAGTTAGCTTGAAGGGTGAGTTTTAAGAATAGTAATCGTAACAATGGTATCAGAGAAGTCATCTCCTAGACCTGAGGAGAGGAGTGTTAATTGCAGTAAAAGGAAGTCATCCAGCTGGGAAAAAGTATACTTATGTCGGTTCTGGAAGGACGGGTTGATTGTAACTACTCTATTGAGTCCCACAGAGCCAGGTTAATTTCACAAGTCGGTCTCAATGGTGGGTTAAAAGTTCTTGGAACAAACAGTAGAACTTTAGAAACTAAAAGTTTAACTATAGCTACATATTAAGAACCAAGACAACAATATCATATACTTCGAAAGTGGGACTAGGATTTAACCTGGAGATTGTTTTCCTTGATATGCAACCAAACACGCCTAAAACAACCCAACCGGGAGCTCTGAGACTGACCCATGAATTCTCTTAGTGTTGAAGGGAGATTCACTAGGTCAATCAAATTGGCTAGTTTCTTAGGATTGTCCATGACAGCCTTTCTCATCCGCTGTGATATCATTTTTCCCAAATTTCTTTCTGTTATGCAAGTAACTGCAATCAAAGAGTAATTTAAATAATACAAAAGCCATTAATTTTTATAACAGCCAAATATCAAGAAGCCAGTAAGTTGAAAATTGAAAACCTGAAATTAAACTCGGCAATCCAAAATGTTTGATGGCGGAATTGTATTTCTAGCAGTAATTTAACCTAACGCCTTGACTGCGATGTATAAACTCGGTTGATTCTTGAATTAATACCTGAAATCTGGACTACTAGAGAGCATTGATTCAGCACAGACCGAGAAATAGAGGAACATGCGCCTACAAGAACTTGAAAGTATGTTTAAGGAACTGTGTATAGAAATGCAACGTATAATTATATTATCGAGGGGAAAATTACACCTGGGTCCCAAACCTATACATGGTAGAGCATTTAGGTCTCAACCTTTAAAAAGATGCAGTTCAGTACCTATCCTTTTCACCTAGGTGCAATTGAGTCTTCAATGGACAAATTATTCAGTTATTTCAGATAAAATTAAAATGAAGAGAAAATGTAAAGGTAAAATGTGTTCTTCAATGACACCGTATTTATCATCACCAACGCCCCCATATTATCACTACTCTGTACAAAATGTTAAGACATGTTATCAACACTTGTAAGATGATTTATAATCACTTGCTAAACATTCTGAGGACAAGAAGTACAAAGGCAATGGAAAATGATGCTTATAGTGAAATGGTCCCGAAGTTATTTCAAATTTTTCCATGTTGGAAATAACTAATTTGAGTGTTGGCCATTTAGTCGACTTCGTTCTAACTATGCCACAAAATGCTTATCTACAAATGGATATGCTTAAACGAATTGAACAATAAAACGAGGACGATTTTTGTTATGTTTCCTTTTTCATTTGTTAAAACATGTATACTATCTATTACAATGTTTATCTTCAAAATAAAAGGAAAAGTTTGAAAAGAAAACTCTCCTAGTTGTTAGCTACAATAATGATATTGTTGATGTCAAAAGTCATACTTGAGTATACCCGAGTTTGAACTTGCATGGACTTAAGCTATGTTCACGAATAGAGTTTCCCATAAACTTACAATAAATGCTCTGATTGTTAACTCTATAGCCCTCTGATACTTAGCATATGAAATGTAACCTTAAAAGAACTAGAATACATGTGAAACGCTGGATCAATGAGATAGGATTTGACTTCTAATGAAGAAGGATTCCTAATATGGCTAGAACAAAGAACAAGCAACGGATTAACATCATGTGAATACACTTTGATAGTAATACTTTTCTTTTGGATGAAGAGCACTTGGACTTCAATGGTAGAGCCCATGTAGGATAATGATGTCATAGATGTCAAAACTCGAGAATTTTAAAACGCGAGAGAGGTGACCTATCAAGGATGTATAGAAGTCTAAATCAGCTACCAAGGATGCCCATAGGGGTCGGGATCCCCTACCTACCAATGATGCATATATAGTTAGGAGTGCTATAGTGAGATCAAAGTCATTAGCCACCTCAAGCTTAAGAGGTTGGTCATTTGACCTTCCAGAAGGAGACTCGTGAGGTCGAGGCCCTTGCGAAAGGTTTCAGAGTTGACTAATTTTGTCCTTATGAAGAACCATGCTTAATTTATTTTTCATTCACCTTTTCGAAACAAACTTTAGATGAAACCAACGAGTAAGTCTTGTATAATCAATCAAGTCCGTTGTAATCAAATACTTACATATTAAGTGAAATTTGCTTAGATTATATAAGATAAACAAAAAGGTTTGGACAAAATGAAAAGAGTTCTTAGTTGACTTAATAAATACACATGCACAAAGAAGGTTGTAATCAAATGTATTTGTAATTTCACATTTGTTTTGTTTACTATACAAGGTATATAAATTGTGATCGTCTCGAACTACCTTCATAACAATCATGCATTAAAAACTATAAATCATTATAACAATGAATTATTTTCCACTGTTCACCTCTCCATATCTCTTATTGTTTATGGTTAATCATGTCATTTGATTATAGGGGGAATAAAATATTGTCGAAGTTGTAATTTTAGTTTAAAAAAAGCAATTTGAAACGAAGATGCACCAGTGGTCTAGTGGTAGAATAGTACCCTGCCACGGTACAGACCCGGGTTCGATTCCCGGCTGGTGCATGCATGGATGCAGTGAAGAGAAATTTGTGCAGATGGTGGTGATGGGGTCACCACAACAGTTCCGATCTTCGGAAGGAAAAATTGCACATCCGAGCGTTCATTTTTGTTCTTTTTCTACATTTCATTTTTATTAATTATAGTTGTATCAAAATTGAAGGCATCAAATACTGTAATTTGCGTGGTGGTGTTGAGTGATATGTCCTCGCTTGGGAAATATACCTTTATGTAGTTACTATTTATTTGAGTTCAAAAATTAAAATAATTCATGAGAGGTGTTAGATGTCTCGGGCACATATCGTGTAGATAATAATGAACAATAATTTTAAATGTATGATTGAAATTAAAATTTGAATTTTTTAAGAAAAATGATTGAAAAGATGATAGAATATAATTATTGGTTGGTAAATATGAACGAATATACTAGTACCATTCAATATTAATAGCGTTCAAATTTTGAACGAAAGACGTGTGACCGGTAGGGCTAATATATTTGGCCGGTTAGAAAAAGAGTGAAAGTGGTTGGCCAGGCATAGTCTTAAAAGCTACAACCTACATGTTTGTGCTTTGCACTACCCATTTACCCAAGCACGACAATATACACTTTCCAAGTGGTCAAACATAAAACCAAGGTGTGTTCTAGGGTTAAAATCAAGAACTACTATATTTTCACATTGTTCAGAATGAACAAAAATGGATAAGTTCGGGTTATCGACCAGAAGCACAGGTCGCATCAACAAGAAATCATGCTACAACAAACAGAAAATTCATAACAAGTGATCAATGCTATGAACCAAACAAAAATTCACAGTGATCGCGCGGTTTACATTGAAACCTGAGAATCTGCTTTCATTATAATGGTGCTGTCAATGCCATGATAAATACATGCACCCAATGATGTAAGAATGAACACATCATAACCTACCAAATGAACAGAGCAGAACAGATAGAACACTGATCCTCACGAGGAACAAAAAAATGGATTTGCTAACTTACAATTTTACAATGCACTTTGCTTATCCTAATGAAAATTCGAAGAAACAAATTTCTGCTGTGCAGAAGGATAGGCCGGTTCAAACAATTAAGAAGGGAACGACTAAAAAAAGAATTTGCAATAAAGAATTGAGGTAGTGAATGTGTAAAGAACTTGCATACAAATGACTGTATAACGTAGCATGAAAAGAAATAAACACGATAAAATGACTGAGAACACTAACAAACATGCTAAAAAGGTATTAATCGATCAATATTGCAGTCAATTTAGCATCTTAAAAGGAGGCTTAGGAGATATTCTGATGAATAGCTACTTTTAAGTAAACGGTATTAAATTCCAATCTGCTTCTATTTTGTCGCGACATGGACAATGCAGGTTGTAAACCAGTAACGGCATATTAATGACCAATCATCCATAAGATCTAACCATATTGATCTGCCAGTATAAATGTACAGGAAATGAATTTATCCACACATATCTAATCATTATAGAAATCTAACCATAAGAAACTGTTACCCGAAAGTCATCAAACACGTTAAACTTGAATGCAGTGATTTTAAACAAAGAGGAAACCTCATGCACAAGTCTTGGGCATGAACCATGTAAAAACAAAAAAGAGATAGCATAAAGCTCCCTACACCTCGAGGAAGAGATAGGGTTATTGTTAAGCACAAAAGCACAAAGGCAAAAACTTGAACTTGACAAAAAGCTAAGAAGATTGCTTTCATAACTCATGATACCTTCAAGCATATCAGAATCAATAGATAGTAGCAAACCTAAGTAGTAAAAGCTCAGATAAGCCAGTACATCAAATCTTACTACTGAGCCATACCAAACTAAAAATGCAGACAGGACAACAATTCAAACAAGCCTGCAAGAAAAACTAAAGTTACACCAGTCCATCCGGATAGCTAATGACCAACATGTTAATCACATGAGATGTATATAAAGCTAGCAAACAACTTGCAGCTCAAATCATCCAAAAGAATGGCAAACCATATGAAACAAATGAAATGAACATAACATGGAACAAAATTTATCGCACAAGTGCAGCATAAGTAGTCGTTCTTGTAGCATTGAATGAGATGAGACTTCCATTTTTACATTAAAAGATCCGAAAATGGATTTCATAAATCAGCAAGAAAAAAATCCAGAAACGACACATAACAAATAGATAGTAGACGTTCTTACATCTAGTTTTAAAAGTAAATAAAACAATACACAAGTCTTCGACAACAGATTTCATATACATTCCAAAGAAGTCAATAGGACAGTCGATGACACGCAATCATCGAAAGACAATAATATCACAAAGGGACACTGAATATCCATCCATCATAATATCCTCTATTTTCCATAACATCAATTTTATAAATCTAATTCAAGTAAATCCTCTTCAAACAACAGGATACCCATAGCAGCCTGACCTCCAACCCACCTTAGTTTTTATCTCACCAAAGGCTTTACCCTAGCTATGAGCATTTTTTTTTTTCATTTTTTTAGGGTTTTCCTCCGCAAAATAAAAACAAAAAATTAAAAAAAGGAAAAGAAATAAGTAATTTAACTAGATGAGTTTTCCAAATGATTTGGTCGTCATCAGGACACAACATCAAAGTCGGAGGGCCGTGCAAGCTAGGTCGCACACGTCAGAGTCTACACCATAAGCGTCCATTGGCGGCGGGAAGTTGAGGTCGAAAGGTAAAGGCTTTTTACATAAGGAGGCGGCGACGTCGCATTCACCATCATCCACAACGGAGGAGGAGGAATCACAGTCGCTGTGACAGTCGTCAGGAGACATCGGCGGCGACCTGGGATATCTCCTTTGCGGCTGAATAAGTTGCGGAGGTGCCAGCTGCCTGGGTCCACTAAACGACTCGACGGTGCTGCTCATGCCGCTGGAGGTAGGCCTCTGCGGGCCAACTATCTGGTGGTCCTGAGGGTAAAATCGAGGATCCACCATGAACGGATCGTTAGGCAGATTACTGATCTGTTGATTATTAAAATTTTGAGGGTTGAATTCATGGAAGACGCCGTTCTGGGTGTTGGATAACGGAAAGTTCGTCTTAGCCTTGTGGCCCCGGAG